CCGGAACGAAACGTGGACCACGCTCTGGCCATCTCATCACGTTCTCTCTCTCTCTCTCTGTTTCTCGACGGCTCAGGCTACTGTGACGGTGTCTCGATGGTTCTCGGGAAAAGAGAAGCTGCAGAAGATGCCGGAGGGGGTTGGTAGGACACGGTGGAAGTCGACGTGATGGCGGCACCACGTGACGGAGGGGAAAACCAAAACCCGCCCACCGCCCCCGCTCCTCTCTCTTCCTACCAACCCCCGAGTGATCCCCACCTCTCTTCCTACCAACCCCCGAGTGATCTGAAGAGGACATCTACCGCATATTCATGGCAACCCGTCAATAAAGTGACCCTGTCAAGTGGTCGACGATAGATAGTAACATAACGCAGCATAATGGGGCCACCCACGTGGAAGTGGAACCACATCATAATGCAAATTTATTTATCAGTTCTTAATGCCTATATATTTGTACATAAATATTATAATGACACTAGCACATATTGTATTTAAGCCCCCACAAGCTCCCATGTTTCCTGTTAAATACCATTCGCATGCCCCATCTGCCACCAATTTGACTTGTCCTAATTTGATTCCGTGATTATATTATAATATACCAAATCTTGTCCCCAAATCGATTCTCGTAAGATTATTTTAACTCGTCTTAAAATGTCGAGTTGGTTCCGAAGAATAATCGCAATCTTCTCGCGCCACATCTACCTCTAATTAGTCTTAAATTATGAGCGGATTAGTTTTATATGGACCCAATCGATTCGACTGATTTGACTTCTTCTTGTGCCATAATACATCGAGTTAATTAGATCAAAACGAAGCGAATTTTAATACTCCACTACACTTGTAATCTAAGCTATTTTAAATTCGATTAGGTAAAAATAGGTTGATTATGATAATCTAAGCTAATTTTAATTCTCCCTAACTTTGATGCAAAAGTGTTAAATTATCGTAATTCTTCCCATTAAAGATGAAAGGATTTGATATACGTAAGATTGTTTTTATTAACTAACTATTTTAATTATATGTTTAGAAAAATATAATTGAATTGACATGTAATTCACAATAACTCTACACAAAACTCATGCAAGACTCAATCAAATTTCTATTAGATTATATAATCATATTTAATTATATAAAATATATTATAAATTTGATTAAGGGTATCGATTAATGAAAAGAAAATCTAATTATGGTAGCATGAGCATCAAATTTGATTGGAGAGACTCACTTAATTATGGTAGCGTATGTATAAGGATTGTTAATAGTGTTTAAGGGTACATTAAGAGCTAGATCAATATTATTTCACTTATTTGTTAGGTACCTAAATTTTATATCAATGCAACCTATATCTCTCCCACCATCGAAAAGCTTTCCAACATTCTATATTGAATCTCGAATTTTGATGATGAAACCAATTGATAGTATTTATAATTTGATATGCATTTTGAATGACGTAAGATGCTTCGATCAGGGAGAGACAATTAAAGTAGGAAAAATCATGTTAGGCAGGAGGAAAACATGTCAGAAGATTGGACGTCGTGCCGAAAGATCGGTCGACATATCGGCAGAAGGCTTCGGTCCATGGATTTGGGCA